TGTAATAAATTGTGCAGCTGCTATGGAAAATAGTATTACCATATGATTCAATAATCCTACTCCTGGTTATATGCAAAGAATTGAAGAAGGATCTCAAAGAGATATTTGCATACCTGTGTTCACTGCAGCATTACTCACAATAGCCACAAGGTAGGAGCAACCTAAATGTCCCTTAACAGATGAATAGAAAAAGAAAATGTGATAAAGAATGGAATGTTATTCAGCATTATGCTACATACGACCTGGGTGAAGTTTGAGGATATTATTCCAAATGAAATGAGCTAGTCACAATAGACAAATACTGCATGATTCCAATTATAGGAGGCAGCTAACCAAACTCTTAGAAAAATAAAGTAGAAAGGTGGTTGTCAGGGGCTGGTGGAGGGGAACAAGGGGAGTTGTTCGATGGGTATAGAGTTTCAGGTTTCCAAATGAGGAAGTTCTAGAGATGTGTTGCACAACAACGTGCATATGGTTAATACTACTGTACTGTCTACTGAAAAATGGTTAAGATGATAAATTATGTTACATGATAAGGAAAAAGACAAACTTGTAGTACAGAAAAAAAGGAACAAACTATTGATACATACAAAAAACCTAAATAAATCTTCAGAGAATTATTCTAAAAAAGGCAATCCCAGAAGGTTACATACTGTATGATTCCATTCATATAATGCTTCTGAAATAACAAAATTACAGAAATAAAGAGATCAGTGGATTGCCACAGGTTAAGGAAAGTGTGGGGTGAGAAGGGAAGTGGGTGTGGCTATAAAAGGGCAACATGGGAAATCCTAGAGATAGATAGGTTCTGTATCTTGACTGCATCTATGTCAATATTCTTGTTTTGTTACTATTCTGTGTCAGTTCTCAAGATGTTACCATTGAGGGAAACTGGGTAAGGGTTATAAGGGATCTCTGTATAATTTCCTACAACTGCATGTGAATCTACAACTATCTCAAAATAAAAAGTTTAATTAATTTTAAGGAGCCTTTTCCCCAAATGGTTGAAGTGAGAACTGAAAATGATGTAAGATTTTAGTTCTTGCTTTTTGTGTAGGTAAAGGTAAAGGAGGTAGGCTGACTTGGAAAAATCTTTCATGTCTCCTATCCCAGAACCCAGGTCTGAGATACCCCAGCCTGGCTATGCCAATGTTCACAACAAATTGCAATTCTGGGAAACCCTATGCCATCACTTTTGGAAGGGGAGCCTGAATGCTCCCTAAGTTTTCGTCTTCAAAGTCCTAGATATTCGTCCCGTGATAAGAACAGAGAGGAGTAATTACGGGCACTAGGAGAAGAGGGAGGAACGTCAGACACTCGAGCCAGTTCTCTGTGGGCTGTGGCAAGTTTAGCTAGAGAGGCAAGCAGCCACCTTTGTCACAGAGGTTTTCTTCTGACCCAGCTCCAAATGAGTCAATAATCCCTCTGCTATCATGTGAACAGAGAACAATGCATCCCTTTATTCCACGGTCCCTGCTTAGAAATCTGCCTCATGCACGTTTGTGGGGAACACCTGAGAACACAATTTAGAAGCACTAGCATCTTGGGACTATTGTGTCAGATATGGAAGTTCACGTAATTATTCTACGAAGAGGCCAACACTCCATCATGAAGCTGGTTAACTGTACCTGCTGGCTGAACCTAAGCTACGATGCTGGGAAAGAAAGTTCACCGTAAGGCATAGCAAAATCTGCTCCATAACATTTGTCTAAGTGCTTCCACCCTTCCAGAGCCCCCGTGCTCAGAAGAGATGGGGTGGAGTGCCTCACGGGCAATGAAATCAGTAATAACTAGCATTTGCTAAGCACCTGCCAGGGGCCAGGCAGTGTGCCGGGTGCTCTGCATACATTGCGCTGCATTCTCTCCACCACCTGGTGGTGAGGCGGTTGGTATTATCTCCACCTTAGAGATAAGGAGACTGAGTTTCAGAGAAGTTACAAGTTTTGCCCAAGGTCACACCGCTAAGAGGCAGCTAGGAGGCAGCGCTGGAATTCAAGGCCCAGGCCCCTCTATTTGTAAAGCCTTTAGGAAGTACCAGGCAGCATCACATAAATAATGAAATCCAGGCTCTGAGTTCTCAGATTTTGACCAAAGCCCATAAACTCAATTAAAAGAGGTGAGACGGAAGGTGCTAGGTTTCTGCTGAACTGAGCAACATTTCTGTTGGATCCATATTGTACACAGTAGGCACTAAATAAAAGATGACTGAGCTGAAGTGACCTAGAGGGACAAGGCTGCAGAGGAGCTGCCCTTGGCTGTGTGTGCTGGGAGGAGGGACGGCGCAGGAGCCTCCCCTGCCATCCCCGCTGGCAGCGCTCTCTCTGCCCCTGTCTGACCGGGACGCAGCTCTGTGAAGACCCACAAGGCGGACAGCCACAGACACACCACGAGGCTTTGACGTGCATGGGACTAAGAAACCCAGGGCCAGCCCCAGAGAATGGGTGATGACCTCAGACGCAAAGTATGCGGTGAGCCAAATTCTGGAACCTCAGCGAATTTCACAGACTAAACAGTGGGGGTGAGCGGGCGTTGGGACTTGTGCTGACTGAGCAAGCGAGGCGACCCCGTGGCGGCTGGGCTTGCGGGAGGATCTTTCTTTGCCGAGATCACATTAGGAATAGACCAGCACGCTGAGACCCCTCCACAGGCAGCCTGGCCAGTTCGGGCAGCTCCTTTGCCTTGGCCTGCAGATATTCCCACCATTTCTGGATTCATACTCAAAGACTTTGGGAGGGAGCAGAAACTGGGCCCTCTCTCCTAAGAAAATCTGCAAGGAGACTTCTGATAAAGACTCAGAGACAATGTAGTCAAAGCCTGTGTGACAGGAGGGGCCAGGGGTTGGAGGAAAGGCTTGCACAGTTTCAGACTTAATTATTTCAGAATGGGGGCAGGGAGCAAGCAGGGAGCATGAGAGAAGAAAGAAGACATTAATGAAGGAAAAATAGCCAAGGCCATACTAAAAATACTTCCCAGGCACATATTTCTCCCAATGCATAGCAGCTCTTTCAATTAAGGATGTGTCATTTCCTGGGTTATTAAATCCAGATCATGGAACATTCCACTCTGGGACAGTAAAAGAGGGTCACGTTCTCAGCCTCCCCGGCACCAAAGCAGTGAAAACCAGGGATCGCAGCCCTCAGAGTCTCCACCACCCCTTGCTAGGCTTCCTGAAAGCTTCCCTTCAGGGTGTGTCCGTGGGAGAAAGCTCTGGAGGCCCGGCATGGCACTCTTTCTCGGGCACCTCAGATACCTCCATGGTCACCTGCAAGAGCGTCATCATCTCAAGCCAGCAAGGGCTTGCAAGAACCAGAATTTGGGGGAAGAAGCAGCACCAGGGAGCACTTGGCCGTGGTTACTCTGATAAATGCCAGTGACCTTTAACATCTTCTAAAGCCAAAGTCACACAGCAAAATGTTTGCCCTACTAGACTCTAAGAGATTAAAAAAAAATTCACAATGTCCTCTCAGTGTTGGGCACAGAGACCTACATGCAGAGGTGCCCAATGATGTCTGTCTCTCTTTCGGGGGTGGAGGGACTATATGCATGGTATAGCCAATGCGCCCTTGAGAGGGGTCCCTATAATAGTTTTCTCCAAACATTAAAGTAATCTGGAACTTCTGCTATCCTAACCTCTCCTAACCTGCATTTGAAGCAATAAATTTGCAACTTAATTACCCTAAGAGTTGGCCAGATTCTTGTCAATGGTGAGTTGGGGAATAACTGAATGGCAAAGCGGACTCCAGAGCTCACATAAGAATTGAGGATTCCACGTGGGAAAGATCTTCAGAGTTCAGACAAGTTTGGACCACACAGTGTTTTCCAGCAAAATGTGAATGTCACCAGCATTTAAGAATCAGGAGATTTCAGATGAAAAGAGGCTTTCCACATTCTGTTTTAATGAAAATAATCAGCAGAAGTGGGAAATGCAGGCCACATGTGGCATCCGACTGGAGCCAAGGAGCAGCGCCCCCTGGAGGGGGCATGCGCCATCCAGCCGCCATGGCCGCTCTGCTCCTGGTCATGTGCACTAGGAGCCCTGCTCTGCCTTCCTCACCCCGCCTGCCACCTTTGGGCATTTGAGTTGGCAACTCCCAACCTAGTCCATCCCCTTTTCACCCTCAGAGAACTGGTCCCATCTCTTACTCTTCATCCTCAAACCCAGCTCTTTTGTCCCGGGCTGCTGGTATTCCCAGTGTTTCTGGATTTATCTTCAAAGAGTTTGAGATGGAACAGATACTGGTCCCCTCTGCTGGGAAAATCAAGGAGGCTTTTGATAAAGACACAAAGGCAGCCACAGCCGAATGATCTGTGACAGAAGGGGACCTGCCTCCCCTGGCCCCAGCAAGATGCTCCCTCAGACTCCTCTGCCCCTTCTGCCTGCAGCTCCACCTCTTCCCCTGCTAAACCGCCTCTGCCCCCAGGCATAACCTATTCCTAAGGACAAACATCCACATCCTCAGGGACCTCTCTTCTGTCCACAATTTCTGGTCCACTCTGGGGAAAAGGCAAACATTGCTTCCCCAACACCATGCCCCATGAAGGATTTCCCCCTGCTCACATCAGATGGTGAACACGAGCGCAGACCACACTGAGCTCTATGAAATACCCCCAACTAGAAATACTGAAGAATTTCTCAGGAAGTAGCAGCCCTGTCCAGGAAGGACTGTGGTCAATTAGAAGATGACAACAACCACAAAAATCAGGACAAAAATAACAAGTTCTCAAGGATTAAATGGTTTGTGCGTGCAAGACATGCTGCTGGGCATTTTACATGTTCTTATTTTTACAGCCACCCTACAGGTGAATAATTACTACGGGCAGTAGGTATTATTCCCCTTTTATAGATGAAGAAAATGAATACAAAAAGTACTCTGCTAATGTAGACATTTTTCTCCCTGGAGTAGTGGTCAACCTTCTTCCACCTGCCTGGACCGACCTGGTTCTGGCATGAAAAGCCTCTCCCAGAACCAGCCCGGGAGAGGAATCCTGGGTCTACTCACGGTCTGCCATTCGCCTCCTCCCCGCTGGCTGCGGTCTTTGTCTCCAAGGCGTTGTTGAATTTGGAGATGTTTTCGGAAGAGTAGAGGGCAGCTGGGTTGTTGTACTGGTTCGTGATAACCCTGGGGGCAGTGCTGGAGGCAGGTGAGGCGGTGAAGGGCATGGCACTCCGATTGTGGGCGCTTCCTATGTGCAGGACCTCCTGCGGGCAGGGGTCGGAGAAGAAATCAGGGGGGGCGTCCAATGCACACCCCATGATGGGCAGTGAAGGCTGAGTGTCAGGGAGAGGTGCCCCAGCTCAGCTACAGTGGCTCTGGTTCAACCCACACTTTGGCCGAGGACAACGCCTGGGAAAGTTTCACGAGATGGGCACCTGCGCCAGTTCACACCCTCTGAATCAGCTCTGCTTTCTGACTCTTCCCTGAGGCCCAGCAAAGCCTGATCTCCGGGGCACACCTGGGCAGGACCCCCCACACCCCCTTGATGCCTTGGGCTGTCAGGATCCACCTCAGCCGAAACACCCTTCAGGGCACATTCCAGAGGGATTAAGGCACTAAGAGGAAAGGAACATGCAGTCACTTGGTCAGTGCAGAGCAGAAGACAATAAAAGTGGAGATAAATTCTCCAGAAGTGAGCTTAGACCAGCAAGATAAGGGGGTTGTGGTGCCACGGAGGAAGCAGCTGCTGGCTAGGCCCAGGGGTCTAGAGAGGGTCTAGGCCCCCTGCAGAGGGGTATTAAGGGAATTCAGGATCTACCGTGGTAGAAAGACAAGACTAATCAGACAGGTCCAAGGGTGTCTGGTACAAAGGACTTTGAGTTCCTTGTGTTCTCATTCCTCTCTTTCTGTAATTTGAGAAAGTTCCCTCCACCACCACCCTGGACCTGCTAGGACTCAGGCGAATAATTACTACAGCTACAACATCTCAGCGCTCCTTTACAAACACACAAAAACACTTTTTAAACTAGCATTCCTTTTTTAAAAATCACAGCTTTGCTGCGGACTCATTAGCACAGTGTTTCTACATGGGTGTTCTGGATCAACCCAGGGCTTCCAGGAGATGCATGCTCCAGACAGGCTGCTAAACTCAGCATGTGCTGTATTTTCTGGGTTCCCAGGAAAATCTTCTGGAACCCCGGTCTCCTTCCTAAACACCCAGGCCCAGAACATCTGCCCCAAAAACAGTCCCTCTGTTGCTCTTCCTTCTTTTTTTTTACACTCTTTTTTGTTAAATCTTCAAGTCTTTTATGCTTTCTTTAAAAATATTATGCACACACTATGCTTAATGTATCGTGTACTAACATAAAAGACAACACGAAAATATTTTTATGATTAAGATTTCCTTTTCATTATTCAGCTTGATGTCCTCTTCAACAAATCAGAACCAGTGAGGTTTTTACTGTACAAATTGCATTTAGTTGACTTTGCATTAGACTAAAGCTAAGTCTGCACGAATAATTCACAAAAGGGGAAGTATAACTGTCTATGAAAAAAACGTCAGCAGTAATCAAAGAATGATTAAGTAAATGTTATGACGAAACTACCCAAAGGAATCATATGTAGTGTTTCATATGTAGTGTCATATGTAGTGTCTTCACATGGTCATGAAGACAGAGCAGATATGTACAGAGGGGCGGCCAGGGACTCTCAGTCACACATGCCGCAGCACTGCGCACAGTGTGGCCCAGCTGCAGCCCGGGTGGCCGTTCTTTCTTTCCTCTCTCCGTACCCACAGGAGCAGCAGCGGAGGCTGAGCACCAAGGAAGAGCCTTTATTTGTCTGTCTTGGCTCAATTTTATTCTGCCACTTCCTGTTTGGCCTTGAGCAAGTGATTATCTCTCTGAACTCATTTCTCATCTTTAAAGTGAAGAAAAAAGGCCAGAGTGTGGTGGCTTGCTCCTGTAATCACAGCACTCTGAGGGGCTGAGGCAGGAGGACTGCTTGAGCTAAGGAGTTCAAGACACCAGCCTGAGCAAGAGCAAGACCCTGACTACAAAAAATACAAAAATTAGCCAAGCATTGTACGTAGCACGCATGCCTGTAGTCCCAGCTACTTGGGAGGCTGAGGCAGGAGGATTGCTTGAGCCCACCACTTGGAGGTTGCAGTGAGCTATGATGACGCCACTGCACTCTACCCAGGGCGATGGAGCAAGACTTTGTCTCAGAAAAGAAAAGCCTTCTTCACAAGAACTAAATGACATTAAATGTGCCAAGCACAGTGCCTGGCACATGGCACATATCCAACCAGGGTCTGTTCCCTTCTCCCTTCATAGAAACATTTCCAATTAGAATGGAAGTCAGTGAAAATTCAGATCAAAAATTCCCATTTTCACTTTACAGAGACTATTTCAAGAATGCATCTGGTTTGTACATAAAAGGAATATCTCTACCCTCCTGTGAATACTGGTCTTCCCAGAAGGCAGGCAGATTCAGGGCTTGCCCTTTGGGATGATGTAATTGTTTGGGCTTTGTATTTATCAGTCTCCAAGGAAACCCAGTAATGAGGAAATACAAACTAGGTGTGTAACTACGCTGACCTCAGATAAGCTGGGGTGTTGGTTGGCATTACATGAACTAACAGATCTTTCATTATAGATCAACTCTGCTCCTACTCATTCGTCCTCTATTTTAGAATGGCTGGAAGTGGAAAAATTACAGTTGGGAAGTTTTTCACGTGAATAAAGAATGACTGGAATCAAAAGAAAAATATACTCGTGAAATTTTAAACTTTTTGAGTTTTCTTTTTAATCTGAAGATAACTATCTTCAAAAATTAATACAGGTACTAGATCATAGGTTTAGGGTGAAAATTCAAGTATAATACAAATAAAAAGTATAACAAAATTTTTTTTAATTACATGATTATCTTATTTATATGAAAGCTAGGATTTCAGAAAGGCCAAATTAAAACAAAATCATTCTTTATGGGTTATAAAATATATGAAAACCTAACACATTAAAATTTAACATTTATAGTAAATTTAATGAAGTAGCTGAGAACTCTAGGGAAATTGAAATTAACTGTGGCATTTCTTAAATTAATTTGCACAACTACCAGTTTACAGAGTACCATTTTATAAACCTTCCTAAGAAGAGTTGTATAGAATAATTTTTCATGTCAGTTTTGAAATGGCAGATGCGAAATTGTCCTTAACATGACTCTTGGGATTCTCAAGTGTGATTTTTATTATCTTAATGGAAATAATTTTGTATGACTACATTTCTGAAATTTTTTTTTTTTTTGGAGACAGAGTCTCACTTTGTTGCCCAGGCTAGAGTGAGTGCCGTGGCATCAGCCTACCTCACAGCAACCTCAAACTTCTGGGCTTAAGCAATCCTTCTGCTTCAGCCTCCCGAGTAGCTGGGACTACAGGCATGCACCACCATGCCCGGCTAATTTTTTCTCTATATATTAGATGGCCAATTAATTTCTTTCTATTTTATAGTAGAGACGGAGTCTTGCTCTTGCTCAGGTTGGTTTCAAACTCCTGAACTCAAACAATCTGCCCGCCTTGGCCTCCCAGAGTGCTAGGATTATAGGCGTGAGCCACTGCACCCAGCCCTGAAATTTTAATGAAAGCTATTTGAGAAAATATGACATATCTATACCACTCAATTTACATACATTAATGTACAGAATGAGGTCCATTTCATACAAGTTTTTGTTTTATATATAAAAGATAGCTAGCTATATGTTATCTTTTAATTATATCTTGATTCACTATAAAAAGTAAATAGTATCCCAAATTTAGAAAAAAAAATTAAATTTCAAATCTTCAACTGAGGTTAAATGTATAACAATCACAAGCTAGGGCCGGGCGCGGTGGCTCACGCCTGTAATCCCAGCACTCTGGGAGGCCGAGGCGGGAGGATTGCTCGAGGTCAGGAGTTCGAAACCAGCCTGAGCAAGAGCAAGACCCCGTCTCTACTATAAATAGAAAGAAATTAATTGGCCAACTAATATATATAGAAAAAATTAGCCAGGCATGGTGGCACATGCCTGTAGTCCCAGCTACTCGGGAGGCTGAGGAAGGAGGATCGCTTGAGCCCAAGAGTTTGAGGTTGCTGTGAGCTAGGATGACGCCACGGCACTCGCTCTAGCCTGGGCAACAAAGCGAGACTCTGTCTCAAAAAAATAAAAAAAAACAATCACAAGCTAGTCTAAAATTTTCAAAAGCCATTATCAAGGCCGGGCGCCGTGGCTCATGCCTGTAATCCTAACACTCTGGGAGGCTGAGGCGGGCGGATAACTCAAGGTCAGGAGTTTGCAACCAGCCTGAGCAAGAGCAAGACCCCGTCTCTACTATAAAATAGAAGGAAATTAATTGGCCAACTAAAATATAGAAAAAATTAGCGGGGCATGGTGGCGTATGTCTATAGTCCCAGCTACTTGAAAGGATGAGGCAGGAGGATCGCTTGAGCCCAGAAGTTTGGTTGCTGTGAGCTAGGCTGACGCCATGGCACTCTAGCCAGGGCAACACAGTGAGACTCTGTCTTAAAAAAAAAAAAAAAGCCATTATCAATTTACTTATTAAGTTGTCATTAATAATTCATTAATGTATCCAACAGATGTATACTTGTGACAAGTAGTACGTTAGGCATGAGGAATTTTACAAAGATATTCTAAACATTCTTCTCTAAGTTTATTTCCCTTATTTCAAAAAGAATACTCACTCATTGTAGATAATTTAGAAGATGCAAATAAGTCTTCTTATTTGGAGAAAGAAATAAAATCACCTATAATCTAACTACTGAAAGATTATTTACAAACATGGGATCTTAGGACAGTCTACCATCCCAGGAAATTCTGTCTGGCTGAGAAATTGTACACTGACTACCTACCACATTTTCCAATATTAATTGCCACTTTATTTTAGTAATTTTAAAGTCTTACTGTAAGTTTCACTGTAACAAAAATAGAGATTTTCATCCCAAGGCTCATGGAAACCAGATAGGCAGATGCAGCAGGGAGAAGCAGGGCTTACTATCAACTTCCCCCTCATTTCTTGAGGTTCCAGGCCTCGGGTCTAAACTTACTTTCATCCCCAGCATGATTCGTTTGTGTCTGAAATCCACAGTGAGCTGAGTTAGGTCCCTGACTGCACCGTGATCCTGCCAACCCTCCTCCACGAAGGAAGGCTTCCCTCATCGCCTCCCTACCCCCTGCTTCCAGCCCCTGCTGCCGAGTCACTGCCCTGGGGGTTTCCAGCCCTTTCCTCCACAGTTCCCTTACGGGAAGAACTGAATGAGAGCCAGATCCCAGCAGGGACAGTGGAGGGCTCTCCCTGCCTTATCTCCAGGCCTGCAGACAGGAAAAATGGGACCGTGCGGAACAGCATCTCAAGCAGGAAAGTGCAGGGTGGTGAGAGCAGCAGCAAAGAGGGACAGGTACCTACCTGGGGCTCAGAGGCCAAATTCATCTTGTATGGATGGCGTTTCCCTTCCTCCGTCACCAGAGGAGACCAGAACTTATGTTCAGATCTGCAACAGATTATCAAAGCTGTTGTTTTGTTCATGCTAAATACATAAAACACACTAAAAAAAGGTTGGGAAAACATCCCCTCTTGCCTGGACGACCAGCTTCTGAACTAGCATCCTGCCATCAGCCTCACCCTCCACCGGCCACCAGTGTGCTCTTTCAAAAGCCCCAGTGTGACATCATCCGTGTCCAACATGCAGGGCCTCCTCCGTGTTCCCGAGCACGCCTCACGCTGCCCCACCTCTTTTCGGGAGCGAATGGGCTTCTCCTCTATCTCAGCCCAGGGTGCTTGGTCCAGGCCAAGCCACCAACTTATTTGTGAAGTTTATTTGGCTCAAATGAGCTTGTAAAGGATTTTCTTTGTACCAATCACACAGCAATGACCTTAGTGTAGTCTCAGTTTTCATTTCATTGTCTCTTCTCTTGCAGAGAGTGTTAGCACTTATCTCTGTATCTATCGGAGTGCCTAGCACAGTGCCAGACATACGCACGAGGTACCTCTTCAATTTGTTGATTCGAAAATCAATTAATGAACTAATGAACAAATGAATGTCTTGAGCCAGGGCTTGACGGAGAGGATTTGGACTGAGGCGGGCATGGAGAAGGGCAACTGTGCTTTTGAGGGGCAGTAATGACACAGTACGTGCACCTCTCTTGCGGTAGGGCTCTGAAGTGCTCAAAATATTTTGCCATATTCTCCCACACTTGATCCTCCTGCTGCTCCCGTGGCACAAGGCAGAAGAAAGTGATAAACGGACTTCACAGGTGAGAATCTGCGCCACGGGCTCATGACAAAGGGTTGTCACAGGTAAGGTTAGTGAAACATTAAAGGCAGGTTAACAGATGATCAGAGTGAGAAATCTGAACTTGATCCAGTAGGAACCAGGGAGCCACTGAGGGTTGAGCAAAATAATTCCTGAAATCCTGCCCTAGCAGGACCCCTTCCAAGACGAAACGAAAGAAGTGGAAACTCCACCCTAATTACAACTCCCAGGCGCTCTCCTCACTCCATTCAGCCCCAGCCTGCAGTGCACTCAGGGTCACACTCTGCACCTGGGGCCACCGTGCTGCAGTCTCTCTGTCGCTGCAATCTCCTGGCGTGGTGCCCACTGCTCAGCACAGAGCGGTGGGAACAGCATCCTAAGTAGATTCTCAATGGTTCCTGAAGAAAACTTTTCATTTCATTTTACCTGACCATATTTAATTCATTTTACTTAGTCAAAATTTTGGTTAGTTGTATTAGATCAAGTGAAAATGCAGATATAGTATCTTAGAGAAAGAAGCCCACACTATAAGAAGCACTTTGAAAATTCAAGAGGAAAATAGGCAAACTGAAATTGCAGTTCCATAGAATTTTTTTGGCATGCCTACGTACACATGGCTCTGGGCTAGAGGGAAGAGGGGATTCCGAAATAGGAAAGGCAGCCCCTGCCCACTAGCTGCTTCCAGGGGATCAAAAATGAACAAACGTTTCCATAGGCCTCACCTGGCTACCGTGAGGGTCATATTGTCTGTGCAGCCTTTGATTTTGTTCTGAGCTTCCAAGTGTGTCATATTGCTGGTATTTTCCCCATCGATGGCTGTGATTACGTCTCCGATACATAGATTAGCTACAGCAGCCTTGCTTCCGGGAGTGACCTGGAAAAAAAGGGGAGAACAGGCTAGTTACTATTTGTCTCTATGAAAGATGCCACCAGGTTAAGTATTTGCTGATATGAATCAAAGCATTTAAAAAGGAAAAGAAGGCTGAAATCGTAAGTCTAAGTAATAAGCCTTTATATTTTTGTAATAAGTTATCGTTTCCAAAGAGCATTTTACATGATCTCATTGGATCCTCACCACCACCTTGTGAGAAAGAAGGACAAATATCAGTGCCCATTTCAGAGACAAGGAAACTGAGGCTTAGAAAGATCTGTGACTAGTATATCACTGAGCCATGCAAACCGTGAGGCAGACCCAGTGTTCTTCCCACTGAACCTTGTTGCTTCCTTAAAATAAGTTTGCGACTACATTAAAAAAAAATACACACACATTTAGAGAATATTATGTGCAATAACATCTCATTTCTGTAAAAATCTTAGTCAATATGTTATTATATGCATAGAAGAAAACTGGAACACTGCACACTAAATTGTTTGCAGTTATACACCTCTATAATGTGTTTGTTTTTTACAATAAGACTGCATTACTTTTTTTTTTTTTTTTCTCACTTTGTTGTCCAGGCTAGAGTGAGTGCCGTGGCATCATCCTAGCTCACAGCAACCTCAAACTCCTGGGCTCAAGCGATCCTCCTCCCTCAGCCTCCCAAGTAGCTGGGACTACAGGCATGCGCCACCATGCCTGGCTAATTTTTTCTATATATATTAGTTGGCCAATTAATTTCTTTCTATTTATAGTAGAGACGGGGGTCTCACTCTTGCTTAGGTTGGTTTCGAACTCCTGAGCTCAAACGATCGGCCCGCCTCAGCCTCCCAGAGAGCTAGGATTATAGGCGTGAGCCACGGCGCCCGGCCTGCATTACTTTTTAATTTAAAAAATTTAAAAGCAATGAAGACTATTTTAACATATTTAAAAGTATGGGCTTATACTGGTTCATTCCCCCAAATGACTAGGGTCATCCCCGATAGGTGGCTGGTGTTCTACTGGCTGATGCTTCTAAAACCAGTGGTTCCTTATTTATAGACCGCTGATGCTTAGGGGCAGCCAGTCACTATTTGCATTAGGTCCTCAGATTGATCTGCCTACCGAGCATTACATGTGTACTGAATAAATATCATGTCTCCCACACAGATGTACAACTACTTTTCAAGTGAATACAGATGCTATTATGATGAACAAAGTCCAAACTCATTACAAAGTCGTACTAACCTCAGAGTAACTTTTTGCCATGGGTATTTTCTAAACCAAGATATAGTAAAGATATTTCAATCATCATCCCTGGGTAAATCCACAACTTAAAAAAAAAAAAAATTACTAGATCTTCCTGGATGGGAATTCCAAGTCGCCCAGCAGCAGGGTGGCAATAACAAACACCCCCAGACTGTCAGTTTCTACAGGGCACTGGCCTCCTCTGGAGAAGGCCTTGGACTCCTGGAATCTAACTGTAGAAGATTTTGCGAACACCTGGGTGTCTTCTTAAGGCTGAAACACAGGTAACAGGTCCTTCAAGGCACTGGACCAGGACACAGGACGTAGGCCCTCAGCCTCTGTATCGGATGCAGTTTTCAGCAGCTGTAGTTTTCAGCCGGCCTCCCCCATACTGAGAGGCTACCCCTTGTGGGGTGGCTGGTGTGGTACTGCTGCCATGGTCCAACCCCATCAGCACCCCAACCTCATAAAATGAGGAGTGGATGAGCTGATCCTTGAGGTCCCTTCCGGCTCGGACATGCTATGCCTTTATCAGGCAAAACTCTCCTGGAATGTGGCAGGATGTGGAAACCAGTACAGAGATCCTGACCTCCTAACCTTCCTTTCTGGCTTTCCCATCATCTGTTTACCAGAGATCTGGCTTTTAGAAAATGAAAGCCCCTGGATCCAAGGTTCTGAGCTTCTCCTCCTCCAGCCACCAAGCGCAGGCCACTCTCATTTCAGCCAACACTGGGGAGCCAGTTTCCGAGTCACCCAATGCCTGCAGTGAAACAAATTTCTCTCATTTTCTGACCTGTCTTCCTGAGCAGGCTGATCTAGTGTCTTCATATAATTCATGTATATTTCACTTTTTCTTTTTTCATATTTTTTTTAAAGAGATGAGGTTTCACTCTGTCACCCAGGCTACAGTACAGTGGCATAATCATAGCTCACTGCAGCCTCGAACTCCTGGGCTCAGGCGATCCTCCCACCTCAGCCTCCAGAATAGCTGGGACTACAGGCACGAGCCACAACGCCCAGACTATTTCACTTCTTCTAAAGGCCAATGCAGGTTCATTTTTTTAAAATGACCCCGAGCATCATGTTATTTGGGATTGGCAAACTCTACCTCCAAAGAGAGCAGCCTGAATCAAGGGGAATAATGCCTGATCAAACTCATTTATCACGACCAAATCTAGCCGTGTTAAAGAGCAGTTCCCTTAGGATCAAGTCCACACTCTTTAACAAGGTCCCTAAATCTGGTGCCTCCCTCCCTATCCTCACCAGGCCCCCTCCCTACTGGGCTGCAGCTACAGGGCCCTCCGCAGGTCTTTTCTGCCTCAGGACCTTTGCACTGCTTTTACCTCTACCTGATTAGCTTCTCATCATTCAGGTCTCAGTTTAAATGGCCTTTCCCAAAAAGGCCTTCCCTGACCTCCAATCTTTCTATATCCTCCTGTCATCCTTTTAAGACACTTGGCTCTTCTTCATAGCACTGGTCACATTACATTTGTAAACCTGTTTGGCGGGTTTATTCACTTCGTGTGGAAAGGCCCACCAGACCCCAAGGTGCGGGACAGCAGGACTGAGTCTGCCTTTCGCCGCGGCGGCCCCAGTGCCCGGCACTGTGAGCGAGCGGCACACGCAGGCGCTCAGTGAGCATCTGTGCCACAGACAGTTCAATCCAGCGCATCTAGTGTTGTTAAATGTGTAATCAGGCTGCTTCATTTTATCCTTTAAAACGAATAGTTCCCAAAATAATCAAAAATATTTCTTATTTAACAAATCATCATTTCCCTCAACATTGCTATCTTGGAACATGATCACTCACAAAACTCAAATAATGAGATGGCGGGTCGGCTGGGTGAGAAGATAAGAAAGAAGTTTCTTTTTACTTTCTTACGTTGAACTGCTAAGAAGTCTGGGATTTGCAGCATTTGGCTCAAACTGTTTTGTGGGAGAGGCATTTCTGCTGGGTACACCCAACAGGTCCTGGACAAGCTAGAACCAGTCTTCAGATCCCCAAGCCTGAGTAATCAAGACCTGGTCATCCTATCCTTCGGTCTGATTTCTTTCTTTCCTTTTTAAAGCCAAACTGATAGGAAGCCAAAGGAAATCTCGGAAAGTTACAAGACAACATCATCAAATGGGAGGGACTTGGACCGAATCACATATAAACAGATTAAGTTCACATTCTTTTATAAGCCAACTCTTTTGGGGGGAAAAAAAAGACTTATGGGATTTGCCTTTTACAAAGCCCTTTCATACACAATTTCCAATTCCAGATAATGATGACCTCACCACCAACATATTAAGTAACTCCACAGATGAGGAAACTGAGACTTAGAGAAGCTGTGACTGGGGACTGGTTCAAGTTCACACAGCTATAGGCTGAGCCTCAACTTGAAAGACTCTCCCATTCCAAATTCCATTCCTTTTTGCTTTAGCACAATGCCACAAGCAGAGGCTCCAAACCCAAGTGTCGGAGCCAAAGAGAAATCCAGACTGAAGGAGACGCATCTGCTGTAGCCTTCTACACAGGAACTGGAATGTCACAGGCTCCTGCTACTGCCTGGGCGCTTAGGACACAGGACAGTCACTCCACTGCTCTGTCCTGAGCCAGGGCCAGTAACCCCACCCTTTATAAGACACACAAATCTTAACACAGAACTGACAAGGGCCAAAGAAAAGAAAGCCTGTGTCTCTAACACTGGGTAGCTCCTGTCTAGAATGGTACAGGCCGGGCGCTGTGGCTCACGCCTGTAATCCTAGCTCTTGGGAGGCCGAGGCGGGCGGATTGCTCAAGGTCAGGAGTTCAAAACCAGCCTGAGCAAGAGCGAGACCCCGTCTCTACTATAAATAGAAAGAAATTAATTGGCCAACTAATATATATAGAAAAAATTAGCCGGGCATGGTGGCACATGCCTGTAGTCCCAGCTACCAGGGAGGCTGAGGCAGAAGGATCGCTCGAGCCCAGGAGTTTGAGGTTGCTGTGAGCTAGGCTGACGCCACGGCACTCACTCTAGCCTGGGCAACAAAGCGAGACTCTGTCTCAAAAAAAAAAAAAAAAAAAAAAAAAAAAATAGAATGGTACACCCCAATCCTTGCTACACACTAACTATTCATCATAATCATTACAATAACCATCAGCTAATAACTAGGGTATATTATGTGCTAAGCAAGTCTAAGTGTTTAGCAAGCGTTAATTTACCAATCTTCACATGATGCCACCAGGCAGGCAATGTTATCTGCATCATTACAGATGAGGAAATGGAGGAACAGGGGTTAAGTAGTTTGCCCGAGGTTGCACAGCTGGTGAGCGGCAGGCCACGGCAGGTTCCAGAGTCCACCCATTTAACCCACTATACAACACTGTCCATTCTAATTTCCTCCTAGCTGTCAAATTCCATCAGAACCAACACATAATGGAGTTAGTTGCAATTTCTAAAAAAAAAAAAATCATACTCAGCTCCAAGGAAAGAGGCCCATGAGTTCAATGGACATTCCTCTGCCAGCTTTCTCCCCCGGAGACCATACAGCTAGATCACACAACTCTTGCTGCATAAAAACCAATGGGTTTAGGCACAACAATTTCTGCTAATGAACCATCTGCCATTTTCTGCAAAATTCACTCGTCTCCCTCGTCTTTTGTCCCACCCCATGCCCAGGCAGACACTGCTTACTTGGAGGCCAACCTATATACCCGCTCTAGACTGCAAGTTCACAGTGCATCTTTAAAACCTGTGCATCACAGCCAGTCCAGAGCACATAAGGCGGTTTCTGAAGTTTAA